CCAATTTACGACTCTGCGTTTCATATGCACCAAAAAGGTCTAGCTTGAGCCTCTTGAGTTTATGCATCCATACCTGGTGCTTCTATTTCGTGCGTTACGTTCTATGCGCTATTTTACATATCACGACATACCTTTAACAATTAATTTCACGTCGGTGTCAACGAGAATCATTTTACCCAGCTTTTATCTTGTAACTTGTCATCCAAAATGAGGATCATTCATATACGATCTTGCAAATAATTATTTTATTTTAAGTTGGCTTCTAATTCTTAAAATTCTAGTTATTGCACCAAACAGAAAAAGTAAATAATTTCCATGTGAGAAATTGTTTAAGGTTAGAGTCTGAAAATTAAGGTCTCGCCGATATTATTGCAACATGTGGAAATGAAGAAGTTGGTAGAACGTGTCCGTAGTACTATGTATTTTAACAGTAGAATAAAGATTTATATTATAGATAATCGTACTCAAGGATGGGAACGACTTCTTTGTGAAGGAATTGTAGCATGACGTTTACTGAGAAATATCATGAATTTTAAGTTGAGAATAAATTGAGCGAAATTCATAACATTTCTTAGTAAAGTGTCATGCCTCGGTTCCCTCCCAAAATTAATCATTCTCAAACCTTTGTACTGTTGTACTCGGGATGCAAATATTAATAGTTTTCAGGTGTTTGTTATCATTCAATAAGCCACCATCAATGTCAGTATTTCTTTTTTCCAGCGGAATGATCCACCTGTATAACATGTAGTTTAAGAATGTCAGGCGAATTACAATTGTTTTTACTTCTATTGCTTGTGCAAAGCCAGTGCTTGGTGAATGCACAGCAAGGTAAGTTTACTTTGTGAAAGAAGTATCACTGTGGAGGAGTTCATTAAGTAAGTTACGAAAACGGATCCGTTTTCGCAACAAAATGGCGCAGCCATTATTCTATGAAATTTTGTTCAACGTTTTAGGCAAAACCATCAATACCTCTTTGGCACAGATGTAAAGAAAATGTACGTTTTTGCGAACGAATAACTTCGTTATCCAATATCCTCAATATTCTTCATCATTCAAGTTACGTAAACGAACTCACTGAAATACGAAAACGGTCTCACATCTTGGTTCAGTGGTTACGGAAACGGATGAGGTTCCTATGCAGTTCCAGACTTACTAGCCTGTGTTTCATCTTGGATATTTGCCATAATACTACATTTTCAAATGTTATTCTTGTTAAACCAGTGTAAAAGCATTTCCAGTCTTACTGATATTAGAAATAATGGTCTGAACGACATAATTCTTTAATAATCTCATTGGGAATAAAATCCAATCTACTAGACCGTGTTGTCCTAATCGGACCGAACTCCCTAGGGTTATTAGTCATGAACTACCATCTCAAGGGCTATTGGTCCTGTTCTGAATTCCTGGGGATGTATCCTTTACTTTATTACCAGGGCATAAAGTTCACTAATCGAATTTTATGGAATATAAAAAACAGTGAAGTCAAATAAATTGTCAAACATTTTATTCACTGGTATTTAGTATGTACGTATTTATTTCATAGTTAATAATGATATTCATAGGATATTATGCCAAAATAAAAACGATATTTTTGTAATGATCAGTTGAAACTGAAAAATATTATATTCTAGGTGGAAACTGGAAAATATAACATTTTAGGCATATTTTCATTAAACCACCAATGCGGTTTTCAAACCATGCTAACGGCGCTAAATCATTTTTGTTACATTTCCTTGAAGACTTTGGTAAGCATTTGAAGACTCATTGAGTTTATCACTGAATCAATTTAAGCCTCAGTCACATTTGCTACGGCGACCATAAGCATACCTGCCATACGGCCTATCATTTCTGCAGTCAGCAATATTCTTACGATTGCCTTAGATATATTTTAGTCATCACATTTGCTAATATAAGGCAGTCGTGGCCAAGGATCCCCAAACTGCATGCATATTTAAAAACGGCAGACGGGGAGGACACAACTCTCAAAAGGATGAAAAGTACTGATAATACAAGGTTAGTTTTGTTTATCAGACAGTGGAGAGGTTAAGCTAACGATGTTTTCACGTAACCGTGAACGCAAAGTACAAAAATTAACAAAGGAATGTATCGAGCGCTCATGGTTTATGCGCGCTTAGTCTACTTCAGATACTCTTTCAGCTTCAGTTTCGGGTTTAGAACGGGAGATTTGAAATTTGACGTTGGGTCAACGGGAACCATTTTACTCGTGTCTATTGAACACTATGCTGTCAATTTTGATTTCGATGCACAGTTGAATTCTTGCTGAACACGATGATGTATGTCATGCATGATTTAGCGCCAAAAATCTTACGAAACGAGCTCGTTTAAAATATGTATTAGAAAACCAGCTATAAAACCGCATCAATGACATACTATAGAATCATTACACGCTATGGTGTAGTCTAAACAAACACTGGATTTGAACGGCTATTTATATGAGAAGGCTACATGAATTTGTATATGGTCGAGTGATACGTACAGGTTCAGTTTCGATTATATGCAAAGCTTAACCTCTCCACTACCATTATGTGGGGTTTGGCGATTCTTTTAGTCTACACCTAGTGGCTAAACGTTTGACTCGCTACTTTGAATAATGCAACTTTTTTGGCGGTTGTTTTTTAATTACGTAACTACATATACACTTATTATATAATCTTTAGGTAGTTAGTCAATTAGTCATGGTATAATCATTTATTTCAATTAGTATTTAGAAATATAGTATGTAACATTATGTAATATCGCCAAACAAAACACATTCTTGTTTGTTATTTGTTTATCAACGTAATTGTTTTGGAATTGATATTTTAATTCCGATTAATTAAGTTGGGAAACACCATGGGAATTCCTCTCTCTGATCACATGTCTAATGACGTAGAGTCCCCTCGTGTGTTAGCCATTCAGTTAGCCTTTGTTGTCGAGGCAGCATGTTATAATATTTATACAGATTTTGAACTATGTCAGTTTGTCAAAAAATTTCCCAACCCTCCCACCCCGTTCTTATATTACTTTTCCTTGCCTATTTTTGCCAGTTATAATTTTTGTTCGTTTTTCGAATGGTTTACGGGGGTAAATGCAACTATAAATTGTTACGATATTTATTGACCCTTGATTTTACGCACACTTACAACTTTATTAGCCTTCCGTTGCTAAGTGGTAATTCAAGTCATGACAGCTTGTTTGTTTTCTTCATTTGTCACGATGGTTATAAATCATCATAGTTTACATACAGTATGATTAAGATTCGAATTGAATTTATTTTCTGTTTCGATTGTTACTGTATGTTGTATGTATTTTTGTCAGCTAATAAGCATAGAGCCATTAACGCTCTTAAGCATTCATGTTGTCGCGCTGTTGTAAAACATTTTATTTGTAATTTTGTAATTTTGTAATTGTAATTTATGTGTTCATATTTTCTAATAGCGTGTAAACCAATGCGCCTGTAGCACATTTTTATGAATGTCTTTTAGCCTTGCCGAATGCCAATGTAAGAAGCATTTTACTACACGGTATTCTACTGGTTGAGTCACTGTTCTTGATTGTCTTTATTGTTACAGTTTAGTCATACAAATTAATCCGCATCGGTATTTGTATTGTAACTCTATGTAATTTATATGCTTGCAGTTACACACTGTTCATTTATAGTTTTTGATTGCATTTATATCTGTTATTATGTTTGTATAAGGTATCACGTAACGTGACGTTTTTGTAAATGTATTTGTACCTGTTTCACAGTTTTTACTTGATTCTCAGTTTTTTACGTACACTTGCACTTTTACATCACAGTTCATGTCTGCCTTAGCGCTTTTGAACATTATGTACCGTTTTTATTGTACTCTCATTTATTTGAGCTATGCTCATTCTGTTCTTGACTGCCTCTGGAGCGCTGTTCATAGTGGAACAAGTGCGCGGTTGTTTTTTAATTACGTAACTACATATACACTTATTATATAATCTTTAGGTAGTTAGTCAATTAGTCATGGTATAATCATTTATTTCAATTAGTATTTAGAAATATATTATGTAACATTATGTAATATCGCCAAACAAAACACATTCCTGTTTGTTATTTGTTTATCAACGTAATTATGTGGAGACTAACTTACTTCACAAGTAGCCCTCAATTTTTTCCCGATGTAAACCTAGTTATCTCAATATAAGGTCCCTAAGGAGCTTTCGTGTTCAGAATATACAGGGTTGCGTCATATAATGTATGTTTGTCTCATGATCATCTGATTTAATACGAAATATATTGTATTGTTCGTGAGAACTGGGTTAAGATTTACCTAGGACACGAAACCCAAATATATTATATTTCTGTGAAAAGTGCGACATCGACTTATGTGTCGGTCATCGAAAAACCGAATGAAATATTCTTATTTATCTGCTTATATTTTAAACCTACGTTCACCTGGACATATGATATGATAAAATCATATAATCGGTTGAAAACACAGACTCCAACTTGTATGATGCAATATTAATATGCGCAGTTTGTCAGTGTTTCAAACTGCGAGCAAATTTTATATGATAATGGGATTTACTTATGGTATCGTATCACATCAAAACATGTTTAATTTGTTCTGTAGGATTTGCTAATTCTCGGCAGTTTGATTGGTTACTCGTTGGAGTTGCTCTTTTCTAATAGACTAGATGCGAATATAAATAATCTTGATTTACGTCATTAAATATTCACAATTCATGTAAAAGTACATCTAGAAAAATGGTTTCGAAAATTGTTTATCAACTTTGAAAATTTAATTTTTTGGGAAAATGTGACTTCTAGCTCGGGTTGATTCCTCATAGACCCCATGTTACAAAATCACAAAAAGTGAAATATATTTACTTGTATTGGACAGATAACATTTTCGTTTACTGGACATATTTTAATTTGCATAACTATTAGATACATAAGGGTTATATAAAAATTGAACCATTAAAACAGATGTAATTCAAGTTAAAGGGAACTTTCTACTATACCCGCCATGTTATCTGACCCGAACGAGCCACCTGGTGGCGAAACTGGTAACTACCTACTCGCATCTGCGTTATTGTACACTAGGAGGTTCAGGTCCAAAGTTGCATATTGCACTGAACGCGCTGTCGAAACTAATCATGATGGGTCTATTAACGGTTGTGGTTTGCCAGTGGAAGTGTAACAAATTTTATACCATCTCAATTAACATCTGCGTTGTTAAAGTTATCAACTGAGTGTGTATAAATTATTTACTAGAGAATTCTCATACTGAAAGCCCAATATAGCGTAACATCATATTCATCATTTTCGTCAAACTTTTGCGCCATTTTGTTACGAAAACGGATCCGTTTTCGTTACTCGCTTTACGAGTTCCTCCACACTGAGTATGTAGTATTGCAGGATTTATAGATTTTTGCAATGGATTTAAAGAGAGGAGAAGATAATTATATATTGCATCAATTTAGAGCTTTCTGGGCAGTTCTTTGAAATATGTAATATTTTCTTCATTCAAATATGTTTAAGAATTTCTTCTTTGAAATATCATTAAGATATACCTTAATCATCCATCACATGCTATAATAGGTACATTACCGTTGATAGTTCTCAGCCTAGTTTATCATTTACACGGCTATTTTTCAGAAATTGTGGCTGTTTGATTGTATGCCATATACCAAATCCAAATCGGCATCTTTTGTAGAGTTATGTAACAAGAGGTTAAGGCTATTCAGCTATTCATAAAGGTTTTTTGAATGAATCCCGAATTGAACTGCATTATTATTAGTTGTAACACATAGGAACCCCGGAGACGCTCACTATTGTAACAAAGGATGCAAACTACATTCCAATTGACCAAGTAGATCTCACTGGAAAGCTTGGACTTGTATTCCAAGTCCAGGCATGTGAATCAGCGTATGTCGCATTGTCAGCCATTTTCGGTGACACAAACTCTCGGATGTACGAGATCTTGATATCAGGATCGTCAAACACAAAGTCTGTGATACGTGATTGTACGGAAAGATGCGATAGGGCTAATTCACTGACTGAGGGTCTTTTGAAATGCAATGAATCGGTGTCTCTGTGGATAGGATGGACAAATGGTGAGTTTGATTCATTTTGAATCTAATATTCATTTAATCTTCCTATTTTTGGTTATCATTTTTACAATAATCGAGCATTGCATTTACTTGAATCTGAAAGATACAGGTATTTTCTAATTGTGTTTTTCTTATAGGACACGTTGCTCTTGGAAAAGGTCACAATTTAGGCATAAACCCACTGGTAGAATGGGATGATAGCAGTCCTGAGTACATAACTTCTTTCGCTGTCAGTACTGCAAACGGTGTCAATGGGACTTGGAAATTCACACCCGATGGCAGTACGTTTTTTCCTTTTTCAGTTATCTATATTTTATTATATCAAAAATGATTAGTTTTTTGTTTCCTCATTGACCATTTAGATGCAATTGAGTAATTCTTTAGTATCGAAGTTTGTATGAAACATTTGTTGAGTCTTTATAGTAATATAGTACACACGTCAAATGTAATTGATGCTAATACATTGATGTCTTATTTATCAAAAACATGTAACGATTTTAAGTCATTGTACAGATTTGAACGGACGTTTAAGATTGTATGTCTTGGAAGTTATTTCTTAATATGTTTCAGACTATTATTATTGGCCAGAGGTAGGTATATAAACCCAATGTTGAATTCGTATGGGTACTGACTTTTTATTTTGTTTCAGAGTGACCAGGAGTATATTACAGGGGCGGATCTGGAAACCAACAAGGGGGGCCCAAAATTCAGGTCAAAGGAAAAAACTTCCGCGGAAAAAAATTTTGGGCCCCTAAAACCCAAAAGTGGGCCCAAATTTTGAAATTTTGAGGCCCATTTTCTTCAAAATTTGGACTGAAATTAAAAAATAAGGCCTTAAAAGGCCCAGTAATGACCAAAAAGGCCCACTTTTTGGAGCCTGAAGGCATTTTTGGCTCAAATTTTTTTTGGGCCCCCAGCCCCCCCCCCCCCCCCCTAATCCGCCAGTGTATTAAAGGAACAAAATGTGTATATAAAGTCTCAATATTGATCTTCAAAGTATTTCCAATGGATTATTAAGTACCCGATCTTTCATTTGACACCAAAAACAGCTCAAACAGATAACATCAGAGTTGACACTAGATCATGAACAAATATTTTCGATCTATCAATTTATTTATTTCAAGTTTTTAGCAATGCCATAAAAGATGGCATTGTTGTTTGCATTAATTATCCATTCATTTTTGATAGGATTTCAACCATACGCAATCTTTCAATCCAAGAGTTATTTAAAACATACACTAAAGTGAAAGATGGTAATTCACTTCTTTTGATCTCTGAACTTGGAATGCTGTTTTCTATGCGGGTAACAGTTCTCAAATAACATTTTGTCCCCTTTCCTTCAAAAATAGGCGCATTGCCTGTTTAAGCTAATGATGCATTTGTATATACTGACTTTTTATTTTGTTTCAGTGTAACCGGGAATATATTAACCTAATGATGCATTCGTATACTGACTAGTCCTGCCTTTTTATTTTGTTTCAGAGTGACCAGGAGTATATTAAGCTAATGATGTATTTGTATACTGACTAATACTGACTTTTTATTTTGCTTCAGCGTGACCAGGAGTATATCAAGCTAACGGTGCATTCGTATACTGACTAGAACTGCCTTTTTATTTTGTTTCAGAGTGACCAGGAGTATATTAGCTAATGATGCATTTGTATACTGACTTTTTATTTTGTTCCAGACTGCAGTTTACCATTGACCAGGAGTATATTAAGCTAATGATGCATTTGTATACTGACTTTTTATTTTGTTCCAGACTGCAGTTTACCATTGACCAGGAATAAATTAAGCTAATGATGTATATTGACATTTTTACTTTGTTTCAGTGTAACCGGGAATATATTGAGCTAATGGTGCATTCGTATACTGACTAGAACTGCCTTTTTATTTTGTTTCAGAGTGACCGGGAGTATATTAGCTAATGATGCATTTGTATACTGACTTTTTATTTTGTTCCAGACTTCAATTTACAATTGTACCATTAACCATGAATATATCAAGCTACTGATGCATTCGTATACTGACTAAATACTGCCTATTTATTTTGCTTTAGAGTGACCAGGAGTATATTAAACCTGCACATCGCTCCAAAACGCAATATGTTGACATATATTGTTTTTACATTTTCAAGCTCTAATATAAAGTTTATGTAAATAAAAATTGTTTTTTTCTGCGTAATATCAAATAAGAATCATTTAGTTAAAAAAATCAGTATCAGGTGCATTCGTATACTGACTAGAACTGCCTTTTTATTTTGTTTCAGAGTGACCAGGAGTATATTAGCTAATGATGCATTTGTATACTGACTTTTTATTTTGTTCCAGGCTGCAGTTTACCATTGACCAGGAATATATTAAGCTAATGATGCATTTGTATATTGACATTTTTATTTCGATTCAGACTTTACCATTGATAAGGAGTATATTGAAGTAATGATGCATTTGTTTACTGACTTTTAATATGATTGAGACTGCAGTTAACCATTGCCCAGGAATATGTTAAGCTTATGTTTTTGTATATTGGCCTTTTATTTTGAACTGGACTGCATTTTTCCATTGACTAGGATTATATTAAGTTGGTGATGCATTTGTATACTGACTTTTTATTTTGATTCAGACTGTAGTTTACCATTGACCAGGGGTATATTAAGCGATGGACAAGTCACGTATTCATCCTCCTCAAGTGGTCTTCCAAGATTTAACCAGAATAGTAAGTTTAAAATGATTCATAGTCTTTGCCTAATATCTAGACTAAACTGTTTATAAATCAGATTAATGCACATGCATTCACCATACCTTTTAAACTTACAACTGCTTAACTGCCGATGGCGATTTTTTTCAACCACGGCAATGGACTTGGGTAACTGAGTTATCTTTTGGGAGTTGGACTGAATGCAAATATGTTTCCAAGTGTGGAAATCATGAGGTAGCTTTGAACCCTGAATTGTCACCTTCGTAATAGACCAATCCAACTGCTTAGCTGCCAATGGCAATTTTTTTCATCCTCGGCAATGAACTTGGGTAACTGAGTTGTCTTTTGGGAGTTGGACTGAATGCAAAAATATGTTTCCAAGTGTGGAAATCGTGTGGTAGCTTTGCACCCTGAATTGTCACCTTCGTAATAGACCAATCCAACGGCTTAGCTGCCAATGGCAAATTGTTTCATCCTCGGCAATGAACTTGGGTAACCAAGTTGTCTTTTGGGAGTTGGACTGAATGCAATTATATTTCCAAGTGTGGAAATCGTTTGGTAGCTTCGAACCCTGAATTGTCACCTTCGTAATAGACCAATCCAATACATCCTGGCATCTATTGGTTATGATGTCAATCTTACAATTTCAGGCAGAAATAGGATTAATTTCCAACTAAATTGTTTTCAAAAATTGCAGCATGTAATGTATGACATCATAAATCTAGCCAAAAAAACTAGTTTCCTTGGTCTACCGAAAGGGGTAATGATTAATTGGAAAGGTCTATTACTAGTTATCTAGGCCCGGCCGCCTGCTTTAGCTATGATACTTCCAAGTAAACTCACGATGTTTGAGGTCTTGATTATACCCGTTAAATCCTGAATTTTGTTAACTTCGTAATTATTACTTGTACTGGAGGCCCGTCACCAACGCTCTTGCTATGCTATCTGAGGTATTTCCTCTACCCGTGAACCCTGAATTGTCACCTTTGTAATAACTTGTTACAGTTCTTTTGCTATGATACTTGTAAGGAAACTCAGGATCTCTGGAGTCCTGTTAATAACCGTACAATATATCTCACTTCTTAAGGTTAATTTTCTTTTAATCTAGGTGGATGGTATCACTATGGTTCAAAAGCACCATGGCTGCAAGTTGATCTGTTACAGCCACATAAAATAACAAAGATGGCGTTACAGGGATATGCTCCAAGACATTCCTATTGGGTCAAAACATTCCAAATACTTTACAGTGTTGATGGAACCAATTGGTTGTACTACAATAACAGGGAAATTGTACAGAGGAACAGGAATGGTTACGATGTTGAAATTGTCGAGCTTACTGAGAATATGGAAGTAAGTTTGCTGTAACCCTAACCCATTATTCCACAGATACTATTTGACATCACTTATTTGCGAATATATTAGCGCAAATGCCAAAGGGTGATAGGGCTAAAACTGTAAAGAAACCCAGCAAGAAAAGAAAATTCGAAGTGTAAACCTGTCATAAGATAAATATACCCTTTAATATCCCAAAATCATGGATCTAACATGAAAAGAATATCTAGCATCTCCTTTCCTCTCCGATCAAGAATCAATATCATGATCTTGTGATAACGATCATATCACGAGCTTGTTAATAACGACGCAATTAATACAATTAATATCAGCAAATCGGTTCTCCTTTTATAAAATATACCTCAATTTCACAACTTTGTTTTAAGGCAAGATATTTTCGCATCCTTCCCATAACCTGGAATATTCACCCAGGAATACGAATGGAGCTTTATGGGTGTCAAAAGGCAGTGTCGGAAAAGGAATACACGTCTATCAAAGGTGATATTTTGGTAAGAAAACATCCTGTTTATTAATCTTGTCAAATTGGTCTTCGCGATTTCTAAAGATAAAATGCAGCAATGCCCTTACTCCTAACAAATACATATAGTGAAACAAAAATATCGTCAATGATAATTTCAAAATTATATTTCATTTATTTTGTTATGGATTTATTATGTTTATGCATGTACATGCATAAATGCATTTTATAGGATGATGAAGTCCTATTCCTATTCCTCAGCCCGTATATTGTGTCAAAAAAAGTTGCAATTAGACCAGAGGGGACTCTTACCATCCAGCCAGGCGTCAAGATAATATTTACAACAGCTGAAGCTGGTTTCGAAGTCCATGGTATGAATTTTATATCTTTGTAAATCCGTTTTCTTTGTTCTAATGGTTGAAATGTGCCGATAAAGTACATATCATGATATACGGTATACTATGCTACGGCACGAATTCTATTTCAGGTAATCTGTTAGCTCAAGGGATTGGCAATCTTCCTATTGAGTTTACGGCAGATGATGCTGTCTCTGAAATTTCATCGTATTGGTCTGGATTAAATTTTGTATCTGGTGGTAAGTTTCCATTTTCTTTATTATGGTAAATGTCTTTGGCTATTTGGTTTTGTTAATTAATTAAATATTAGTACCCCACACACGTTTTTGATAATAAATTTGACCCATTATTTGTATACTACCCTATACTATTTGTTATTAAATTTAAAAAGTTGAAGCCAATAAATTTCAGATGTTTTTGTCATGCATAATACTGATGAGTGTATCCAGGTCATCATTTGAGTTTGTTACTTTAAGGATGTTCCCTGGACGAAGTTGAAAACGATGAACACCAACCCCTAATTTTTCTTTTCAAAATGTGAAGTACATAGCATAACTAAGTGTTTCTGTGAGTTTAAGAAAAAGTTAAATATTCAAAAGTGTGTTTTGGGGTGAAAACCTGATTTTTAACATGGGTTTCAATGAGAAAGTGCCACGCCCACTTTTGTCAAATATTGACACTTTAGAGGCCTCTTGCTCAGAAAAAAGCACACTAACATATGGTTTTTAAAGTTTTAATATTCTTTGTTGCCCGTGAGAATCCCAGAAAACCATTTTTGAGAAAAAGTTAAATACTATTGAATATTTTCCTATCTGACCAGGGAACATCCTTAACATTGTTATATATTAATGCTCACATTGAGTCAAAAAGTGCATCTCATCCTCGACGCAACCATTATCGCAGATATTACATTATTTTTCTTGCAGCGGTGTTTTGTTCCATCTACCTGTCTCTATATTTAAGTGGAAACTTCATGTTCAAAACTGAGCGAGTATTCTCATTGTTGTCATGACATTCTGTATTAAATCAGTCACTACGCCATATTTAAACTGACAGAATGTCCGAAGTTTGTTCCCATTTACGTCATTGCTTTTGTCATTCCTTATGTAGGTGAGAAATTTGTAATTTTGATTCAGGTAACTTTTCAGTGTAAGAGAGCTAATTTGGTTGAGATGTTTGTACCATATGCTATTAGGACTTCTCCTTTGACTAGTTACTGCTGTGTTTTATAGTCCCAGCTAGACTTTCTCTTTACAGACCATAGATGTATTTTATGATTCGTCCTGGTTCTATCCATATTGTGAAGCCTTAAGTAAAGTCTAGCACATTCAATATGTTCCTTATCGAGGAGAGATGGCCAACCTAGGTCTCCCCTATCTGCCACATTGCTAGTTTTTGGGCTTACCCCCAGGAACATCTTGCCTGCTCGGTTCTGGATGTTGTTTAGAGGTCTACGTTCATGCTATCCCATGATAGATAAACTTGATCTGCAATCAAGACAATGTCATCTGCATACAAGAGGACAGATACATCCGTGCCATCAAGTTTGATACCACAGTTAAGATTTTTCACATCAGTTGCCAAGTCGTTGATATAATGGCGAACAGGGTCCGAGACAAAACGAAAACCCCCTCACATCCTCTCTCTATACTGAACATAGGTGTAAATGACTGTTTATTCTAACTGAAGAATATAGATCTTGATAGAGGGAACTTACAGACAGTCCCTATACACGCTACAGAACGCTTTGGTCATGTCGATATACCATGTAAATGTATTTTGTTTTCCTAGTTTTCTATTGTTAATTGATGAATACATAGGGTGGACTTGGTCTAGGCATCCACGCTTAGGTCGGAAGCCATTCTGTTCATCTACCAAAAGTTTGATTACCTCTAGATATTTTGAGAGTCTTGTTAAGCGTGTCGCAATAAACTTTGTATGAGATTGAGATCAATGTTACATCTCTGTAATGTAGGGGGTTCCTACGATCACCCTCTTTAAAAATGGGGTCCCAAGCTTCCACTAATCTGGCACTATTCCATGACTATAAAGCATTCATGTTTTCAGCATATACATATTCATATATTTCAGCCCAGCTATCCAGTGTTTCCTGTTGACCACTTTTGATATTGCCTTCTGAGTCAATAGTATAATAAGGTTTATCTTTTGTGCGTTCGTTGGCGATTCCAATTTATCATATTTCCTGCCAGACATTTCTTGAATTACTTTAACAGATACAGATGTAATTGGTTTTGTTGTTCTTTCAATTGATATGACCTTTTGTGTTTCCTCAGCAGCTTATCAAAGTGTCTCTTTCCAATGCTACGTTGACTAGTGTCCCTGCATTTCAACCATAGCGATTCAGCTTCTTTGGAATTATTCCACTAAGTTTGAAGATCATTGTTTCAATAGGGTATTTTAAAACTGTGGCATTTCCATATTTACATTTCACTTTAATAGGTTCAAATGCACGCTCCAACAACGTTTCCATATTATATTGTCCCCTACTGAAGCATCTGATTTGTATTTGATTAAATGCATCTTTTACTTTATTCACAAGATTGATGTCTTTTAGAAACTCTTGTGGAGGAAATTTTACTTTAAATGCTTAGTGCCATCGGTACTGGATACACTGCCAGCTTTAAACAGATTTTAATGGTAGCGATCGGCTTGAATTAAAAAAACACATTGAGCTATTGAATGATCTGGAATATGTTGTGGAACACTTTAGATTATGAAGCTGAATTATGTCTGGGATTTAAGAACTTTCAATTCACTGAAATCTGTAAGCTGTTCATGACAGCTCTCTGGGGATGTTATTCACACCTTCAATATCATAATTCTTTGTAGATAAATTTAGCCATAGAATTTCTTCGTCAGATCTGTCAAGCATCTGGTAGTTAAAGTCATTTAGAACATCATTTTAACCAGAATGTCAACACCACAAGCATCCCGACGTGCATTAGCATGTATGATAGTTCTGTTGTTACCTAACCATGTAAAGCCATCTATACATTTAAACTTTTTCTATACCTTTCTATCTCTGTAGATTCCTTACTGCAACATGCTTATGTAGAAGGGGCGCGCGTTGGAATCCAAGCAACAGGCTACTCCGTCACTCTAGACCACGTGACCATCACAAAATGTTCAGCTGGGATCAAGTACATTGATGGAGGATCACCATTTAATAACTCCACAATGATATCTGATTCAAACATAGGAAAAAATGGGGGACATGGTATTGAATTCAAGGGAAGCTCTACTAATCCGGTGCTTTCAATCACTCGGACTGTTATCACGGGTAGTCAAAGCTCTGGCATATATTGCAGCGACACCCACGCAAATATCTCCATCGAAGACTCAGAGTTGTCAAACAATGCTCAAAGAGGTTTAGAAACGTATCAATCTGTAGGAAGTATCACTATACAAAGGTCAGAAATCATGAGAAATGGAAATAGTGGGCTCTTTATTTCTAGAATAAGTGGAAATACCACTATTGAATCCACAAAAATGAAATTTAACTACTATTACACTATATATTATTACTCAAATTATGATTACAGAGGAGGACGTTTTCTACTGATTAACAATTCTTTTTTGGGAGAAAGCAACAGTCGCGAATACTACGCAGTATATTTGGACCCCAGTACCTTTGATGGAAACGAACTACGCATTGAAGGAAACACATTCAAGGACATATCAACCTCATATCCTGTGTTGCAATTAGAAAAAAGCTACACACAATTAAATATTTCAATAAAAAAATAATGTCTTTAACGACTGTTACAAATCAATGTTAGTAAGGGCCTACCACACTGCGAACGTATTTCTAGAAGACAATCTAATGATAAACAACAGAGCTGGTAGTCGGAACAGTGATGTTCATTTGCAAAGTTCGAATACAAATGGAAGATTCCATATTTTCAGAAACAAATTTACAAACATTTCTGCATCCACTTGGTTATGGATAGACACGGGCAATTTCAATATGGCAGAGAATTCTTTCGAACAATTCAAAAACGTTGATCAGTGTGCATTTTATGCTTCTGTATTTAAAATAGATTTAATCATTAATGCACCATACTCGTATTGGGGCTCGTCTGATCCAGGTGATGTGAAACATAGAGTATGTGGGAACAATAGGGATATGTATCTTGCACATGTCACTGTCTCGCCTTTTTACACCGACAGCAATCTTACTGAGTTGAATGAAGATACAGGAGTAGATTCCTACTTTACTGATTCAACAGGTGCCATTGGCGGTGTGGTATCGAACAACGAAACAATCCCACATGTGTTTAATCATACCTATCACGTTAGGCGCAACATCCTTATACTTCCAAATGCCACTCTCACTGTAAAATCTGGGGTTAAACTAGCTTTTGACCGAGGGATTGGAATTTATATAATTGGTAAGTGATACTCATTTTTACTATACCCATCTTAATTCATAATCTATTTTCGTTCGTACTCGCCCAAGAATTAATATTTTAAATGGAACCCTTTTCTGTATTAATATTTGATAATATTAGATAATTAATGCTAAAATTTGAAAATCATTGCAACTACATTGTACTTTACATTTCTCTCACTTTGCATCTAATATTTCAGAAACAAATATAGTAAATCGGTACATTCTCAAGGTCATTCATTTCAAATAATTTGTAATCAAGTGTACTGTACATCACCATTTTGTGTCAACATTGTTTGAATTATACACTTTAGCTAAAATTGCTACTCATTCCCCTCCAATCAACCGTCAATTTAATAAAGCAAAATTGTAAATTAAATCATTACAATTGTTATTATTTGCCAACTTAACATATAAATACAAAGCTTTACATGAATACATATTAAATGTAGGTGAACTGCTCATTAAAGATACTGACAGTGGTGGCACATTGATGAGAAGAAAGAAACCCATGGAAAAATGGGAAGGAATTCGCATTGCGTCACCTTCCCCAGTCGGTATGCTATAGTGTTGACTCAGCTTTGTTTCAGTTTTTTTCATTATTGAAACAAATCGGTTTATTTAACTTTATTATTAAACTTATTTCTTTGACAACAAACGTAATCATTCATGTTTTTATTTCAAGGTTTGTTTCTCAATAATGTCCAGTTAGACGGTTCAACATACGGCATTCATGGCCAAGGGAGGAACATTACTCTAAATGGTGTCACAATCTCAAACACTTACTATGCCATATATGTATCGGATACGATAACTGGTTACCTAAACATTACCATTACTAACAGTACAATAGACACATCTTCTAACACTGGAATCTCCATTCAAACGTCAAGTAATTCTATCATGAGAGCTTTCAACATAAAAATGAAGGACGTCGACATCCGTAACACACGTGGTAATGGAGCTGTGTATATATATGGAGGTGATAGCAAAGCAGATATTGGATTTGAAAAGGTGTCAATTCAAGATTCAACCCATCATGGTGTCTACATTTACTACCGTGGTCAAACAGATATTCAGCTTCATGGTTGTGAAATTTCGGAATACTCATCTTATGCCATATATGCCCGCATAAGACATGGCATGTTTGAGCTTGGAAACTGCATTGTCAAGAGAAATATCAACCGATATGGTTATGGTATATATTACCACACCCCTTGGACCTATGGCGGGTCAAAAACAATTTCAATTTATAATAATACGTTTATGGATCAAAATTCATACCACAGTTATGGAATGGTTAATATCAATCCCAAGACTTCAAGAACCGGTTTCGAAGATACTTCCTTTATTGCTATTGTTAACAACACATTTCGATCAACAAATTCGAGGGGCACATCTGCCATGGATTTATCTAATATCAACTACTTCTCTTCAATCGTCATAGAGGGAAACATAATACACGGAATGAGTCGTATAGCATGTGCCATTGGGTCAAAAGCTGGAATTGGAACTGTTGACATCATTGGTAATGTAATCTCCGAGAGTAACGGAGCTTTATCACTGACATCTGACGTCACAAATGGCACAAGAATCATGAACAATCAGTTCCTCTACAACTTTGGAAGCGACAATGTTATTATTAATCCGAGCACACGAAACAACTGCTCTATCAGCTACAATATTTTCTTAAATAACAGCAACAATGCCCTAACCCTTCAGAGAGTCCAGTCGGGTACATTGTTGAACTACAATTTGTTCGATAACATTGAAGGAGAACCCAACTACAATGTTAAGGTACATTATATTATATTGTTCTAAATGAAAATCTTTTAATTTTTATTGATTAAAGTCAAGGTTCTTTTTTTAATATATATAACATTCAAGGTAATTTTAAACTATTGATCATACACTAGTATTTTTGTACATGTATACACCTGTGTGTTTAGGTAATCTCTTCAAAAGGTGGTGCTGATATTAATGCAAAGTTCAACTGGTGGGGCAGTAAAGAGCAGTCGCAAATAGTTGCCACCATATATGACAACATGAGAGACCCTTCCGTTGGTGTACTAGACATTTTCCCATATCTACTTTCACATAATTATTCAGACGTGTCAATTGAAGAAGATTTTTTTCGACAAGATGGTAGTATCGGTGGGGAAATTACAGGAAACGTAACTCTCAGATGTGATGACAGTCCATATGACGTCGTGTCAGAAATTGTAGTTATGGAGGGGGCTTCGTTGCTTATTGAACAATGTGTTGTGCTCAAATTTGCTGAGAACATTGGCATTCGAGTAAAAGGTAAGCTAGTTATCATATTGAGTATGTTAGAGTTATACTTGGTTGTTTTAAAATAATTTAGATCCTGTGTAAAACAGAGTATTATTGTCACGCATTACCTATGATCTACCTTCGGTATGGCCGATTAAACGATGATTCGATACAAATTACATATGTGACTTCGGACATAGTATCATAGAGTTGTAATTTTGACGCTGCATTATGTGTTAATCGAGAGTTCACATTTGTTGGTGGGCCAAACCTAACCTATGATCTACCTTCGGTTTGGCCGATAAAGCGATGATTCGATATAAACTACATATGTGACTTCGGACATAGTATCATAGAGTTGTAATTTTGACGCTACGTTATGTGTTAATCGAGAATTCATATTTGTTGGTGGGCCAAACCTAACCTATGATCTACCTTCGGTTTGGCCGATAATGCGATTATTCATTCATAGTTTTTGGTGAGCCAAACGACTATGTTATGGCTTTGAGGTTTTGATAATCTCCTATTCTTAATTTATTTATATTAAGGTGAAATCCACATGAATGGAACTGCGGAAAAACGGATTCATTGTGTTCCTCGTACATCTGCCGTAAGGTGGGCTGGTATAAGTATCACGACTGGTAAGTATACCGTATTGACATCAAAGTAAATAACAGATACGACGATATGTCAAAAGTATACTGTATCTATCACATGGTTGATTGTCGAAGAAACACCTACAATTAAACGACAAAATGCTAACATGACCTACTTATTGCAGAGGCTGCTGCCAACGGAAAGGGAGATCTCCGATTGGTAGGTGATACTACATCGGGAAGACTTGAAGTATTCTATAATGGTCAATGGGGTTCTGTTTGTGACGATAACTTTGATACTAGCGATGCTAAAGTTGCCTGTAGACATCTGGGTATGTTACACCATTTGTCACTGGTGATCCGTTCGATTACGCTGGTTACCGAAACGGTTCGTTTCGGTAACAATATGTCGGAACGTCGAAGGTACGATTTTTCTTTTTTCCTTACTTCACGTGTTGTAGGCATGCGCAGAATCTCTACGACGTTATTTCTCACAAACGTATATCAGTATCATATGATTTAGAAAATGTACATGTTTGCGAAAAGAATAGCTCAGAAGACAACAGAATCGTCGATTTAATTCCTCACTTAAGTTACATAAACGGTTTAGGTTTAAAGTTTAGATCTTAACTGTTTTAAGAAAAACCGTTTCTGTAACGAGTGAGGAATTAAATCGACGATTCTGTTGTTTTCTGAACTATTTGTTCGCAAATATGTACATTTTCTTAAACATATAATGCTGATACACGTTTGTGTTAAAAATGTCGTGGCAATACTGCCTACAACATGTGAAATAAGGGAAAAAGAAAAATCGTACCTTCGATGTTCTGACATTTTGTTACCGATACGAACCGTTTCGGTAACCAGCGTTATCGAGTGGATTACCAATGATTTATGGAACAAGAGATTATTTATTAGTTGGTGTGAAATACTGCATATTATAAACTAATTAATCTATGATATGACTATACACGGCGTTACTATGAATCCTTTTAGGTATGGGATCTGAGGGAGCAACTTATAGAACAATTGGTGGTGGTACAGGCCCTATATGGTTAGATGACATGACTTGTAACGGAGGTGAGGCAAGTCTATTTGAATGTAAACACAGAGGCTGGGGGAGTCATGACTGCGGCCATGGTGAAGATGTTGGTATCACTTGCGTCGGTTTATTAAGTACAGCAAGCAGAAACCAAGTGTCTACATTGAAACATGTGCACCTAGTGAATACAACTATTGGACTTCATATCACAGGAATTGTGCCTTCAGTATTTCAAGATGTAGAATCATCTGGCTCCAGTCAGAATGGAATGACCTTTGATGAACCTTATGTGATAGGAAACGTTTCAAACATTTTGTTTGAAAATGTTATAACATCGGAAAACAATGACAATGGGTTGTACTGGAATGAGGAATCTTACAGAATGTCCAATATTGAATTTGTTAATATGAAGTCCACTAGAAATAAAAAATTTGGGCTATATTATGCAGGTTCATATCAGAACATATCAGTGATTAACAGTTTATTGACTGACAACATATATGGAGCAGTACATTCTTCTCTTTCAACATCATCACTGAACATTGAGTCGACAGAAATATCAAGAAACACACATGGAGCCCTGTACTCAAAACCTGCATCAGACTCGGAGTTTAACTGCACTATAAGAGATTGTAATATTGCTTACAACGGTATTCCGTCAGATACATCAAACAGTACATTTTACTTCAGCCCAAATGGACAAAAATACAATGGTGTGTTTTTTCTGAACAACAGATTTATTCAAAATACGGGAGGAAGGATGATACATTATAGAAGTCAACATGTTGTCATTTTTAGCAATAACACACTGCTTGAAAACACAGGAGTCGCATTGTATACGGAATATAATGGTAACAATGCTAGACTTTTATTTCATGACAACCACATTGAAGGGAACAATGCAAATCCTGCAGCATCAGGAAATAATGCCTATATGTTTTATGGAACATTATACGATCAAGGTTCATTTGACTTTGAAAGGAATGTTGTTGTGAACAACACAGCACCGAGTCTTCTAAGAATCGCATCCTATTGGTACAATGTCGCCCGAAGTATAAAAATTAGGCTGGAGTACAATGTGTTTGAAAATAACCATGTTGCAACATCCATCGATCTAAGTCAAAAGATTTACAGAGTAGAAGGTCACAACAATATATTTAACAACCCCATAGCAATTTATGAAATAAGGTCATCCGCGAGGAAATTATTAACTGGGTATCATTTTGAACGTAATTACTGGGGTCTTAGAAACTTGAGTGAAATAGAAAAATCTTTGAACAGTCACCACGACAACATCAATCTAAACCGAGTATTTATTCATCCATTTGCAACCAACCGTGAATTAACCGAGTTCAGTGAAGATAATGATGTTGAGTTTTTGAAGACAGCATTGTTTGGAGGGGATGTAGTTCAGGACGTTGTTGTGGAATATAGAACTGAACCATACTATGTACAACGATCCATATATATCAGGTAAGGAAATCCCACCTTTATCATAAGTATTTTCATCGCGGGCAATGTTATAAATGAAAATTCAAACATAAAGAGGCTTTGACGTATAGTTCAATGGGAGAGCAAAGGTTGCCAAACTTTGGGAGGGAAGTGTTATTCATGAATCTTTTAAAGAGTAATATTGATATTCTCATGAGATGGGCTATAATATTTTTGTCCATATGCATGTACTATAAGAACAATGATATAACAATTATGATATGAATGTGACTCCAGATGTTACCCATTGGAAACTTATACAAACTTTAGATTAGGGAGATGGTTATATATACATCAACTAGTTTTTCACGCGAATATAGCAATAACCCCATTCCAAAGGCCATATGTTGAAATCTTGGCCCAAGGGCATACTCGTATTTATTAACAGCAATTTAGAATTAAGTACAAACTTGTTATTCGGCCTGGATCAGGGGGGAAATGACCATTATTCACTAGCGCCATAGGCGTTCACCTATTCTGGATACAACTGACGAGTCGTATTTAAGTGGAGTCAAAAGTGAGGATCATTTTGAATTGACGCTCGGTATAAATATATAATACTTTTGTTCTTTCATATCGGTAGCACGTTGGCCTCATGGTTAGCGTGCCTGGCTTCCACGCTCAAGGTTAGTTGATCGAGACCCGTTCATGTCGAACTTTTTGATTTGCTTGTTGTCAAGATATAATAAGTAGGGCAAAATCCAGAAAAAGTAGATAAAAAATACTCCAATGGAGTATAAAATTGTCACCAGGATTCCGAAATGAGACGAATGTAACTCGTTAAATCTCGGTAGATGAGGTAGGTCAGAAAATCCGGTTTAATCCGAACTAGGTTCGGGAATTTTCGTCATAAGAAGTAGATCAAAAATACTCCAATGGAGTATAAAATTGTCACCAGGATTCCGAAATGAGACGAATGTTAACTCGTGAAATCTCGGAAGATAAAGTAGGTCAGAAAATCCGGATTAATCCGAACAAGGTTCGGGAATTTTCGTCATAAGAAGTAGATCAAAAATAATCCAAATGGAGTATAAAATTGTCACCAGGATTCCGAAATACGACGAATCGAATCGGCAAACTTCGGTACAATAATGAAGTGCATAAAAACCGAAATGATCCGAACAACGTTCGGATAAAATCGTGAAACAGGTATCAGGGGCTTCCCCTCATCTTTCCCGACATGGTTCTAAAAGCCTTATATGGATCTATCACGTGACATTCAAAATGACGTTCCTATATGGTTCTATGGGCCTTATATGGATCTTTGGAACACGTGACCTAATACCAAATCAAAATCAAAATTTTACCTTGACCATTGGATGGGATTTCATAGAAAATGTCCAAGAAAACATATTCTCATGATCCTTAAATCAATTAAATTCGATCATTTTATCTTTACCCCTTGATGGAATTTTATGACAGAGGTTATGAAAACACATCATCATGTAAGGGTTTTCAACTAAATTAAAAATGAAAAATGTTTCATGAAAAATATCATCATGTTATGATTTGTATTTAAATAAGACCGTTTCATCTAAATACTTGCTGGATAATATTTAATAAAAAATGCACTTTAAAAATATTTCAGGATTTGCCTTAATTTATCAATGTAATGTAAGTATTAGATTGACTCTCAAATAGGGTTCTATTTTAACTTTTTTATTGAAATTAATACGAGGCAGGACTCACTCTCTAAATAGCTAATAAAAATTCAACCCTTGGATGTGATTTCGTTGAAAAAAAATATGACAAGTCCAGAATCAAATGATTTGTCCAGAACCTCTTAAGATCCTGTTTCGAGTCAATTTAGTAAAATAAGCCTTCTAAAATACCCCGAAAGGGTCTTACAAGACGGCGATTCAAGGTACATATGCTCAACGTTTGGAACAAGACACGTGATTTATAACCTTTTGTTAACTGTTTAAAACGGCGACATAGTATTAATGTGTTTGAAGGTATTGCTCTCTTTTACTTTCTCCTTTACAATTCATGATGTTCGGTTCATTCTACAGAGAGGGTGCTTCACTGACGTTGAGGGCAGGCGTACACTTGAAGTTTCCAGAAGCATATGGGATCATTGTTGAAGGTAATGGCATAACATATAATTACAGAAACCATTTCATAAAATTAGTCTAATGACAACAGCAAATACTACTTAACAATAATATATATGTGATATATCGGGCCACGATACATACAAGTCATGTTTATTACATACGATCAAGAATAACCGTTTCTTACCACCCTAGGAAGAAATTGTAAATTATTCGAAAACGTAAAATTTTCTGCAATATGAACAATATAACAATATATTCAACAAACACCACACCCAGGTAGAACTAATAAATAGATATGATTCCAAAATTTTGCAAAAGGTCGCCTTGTCATTGAGGGAAGTGCCGAAAGAAAGGTGGTTCTTTCAAGAAAAGATGCAAGCACCCAATGGGAAGGTATAATATTTCAACGGACAACGGCAGAATGTAAGTACCAACCCGACAACTAATAGTCCCTGATCTGGACCCTCTGAAAAAAAGTTTTGTTGTCCGGTACTTTCCCACATAAAATAATTGTACCGTTTGAATGAACAGACTTCCCTCTTAAAGAAAACACCTCTTCTATTGATGTAAACAGGGGCAAAAGGCACCAAAACGGGGTTAGACAAGGTGGCATTCTAAAGTCTCACTTTCTTGTCATCACGATTCCAGGTAAACCATCAGACGGATTTACTTCAAGTTTTCACACATGTTACATGGTAAGAAGTTCTAGAGCTGATTAACTTTGCGGCGGCCATCTTGCATTCTGGCGGCCATCTTGGAATTTTTTTCAGATAAATATTGTCATCGCGATTCCACAAAAACCACATAACAGATGTACTTCAAATGTTAACACATGTTACATGGTAAAAAGTCCTAGACCTCATTATTTTTTCGGTGGCCATCTTGCATTCTGGCAGCCATCTTGGAAGTTTAAAGATAAATCTTTTCATCACGATTTCAGGAAAACCAAACGGATTTACTTCAAATTTTCACACATATTACATGGTAAGAAGTTCTAGAGCTGATTAACTTTGCGGCGGCCATCTTGCATTCTGGCGGCCATCTTGGAATTTTTTTCAGATAAATATTGTCATCGCGATTCCACAAAAACCACATAACAGATGTACTTCAAATGTTAACACATGTTACATGGTAAAAAGTCCTAGACCTCATTATTTTTTCGGTGGCCATCTTGCATTCTGGCAGCCGTCTTGGAAGTTTTAAGATAAATCTTAATTGTCATCACGGTTTCAGGAAATCAAAAGGATTTATTTCAAATTTCCACACATGTGACATGGTAAGAAAATATAGAGGTGAATAACTTTACGGCAGCCATCTTGCATTCTGGCGGCCATCTTGGAAATTTTGGGATAAATCTTGTCATCGTGATTCCAGGAAAACAACCTAACAGATTAACTTCAAATTTTCACATATGTTACATGGCATGAAGTTCTAGAGCTGATTAACTTTTCAGTGGCCATCTTGCATTCTGGCGGCCATTTTGGAAGGTTTATAGATAAATCTTGTAATCACGATTCCAGAAAAACCACTTCACAGTTTTACTTCGAATTTTCACACATGTTACATGGTATGAAGTACTAGAGCTGACTAACTTTTCGGTGACCATGTTGCATTCCGTCGGCCATCTTGGAAGTTTTTAGATAAATTTTGTCATCACGATTCCATGAAAACCACGTAAGTTTTACTTCAAATTTTCACACATGTTACATGGTAAGAAGTTATAGAGCTGACTAACTTCCCGATAGCCATCTTGCATTCTGGCGGCCATCTTGGAAGTTTGTAGATAAAAATATATACAGTCAAAGCATTTACCACCAACAAATGATGCTCTCATTCTCCATATAAATAGAGCCAACTATCAGGCCTATATTTGGCGAAACGCAGGCAAATCAATGATTGATTATCAATCCCCCACATTACATGGTTGGACATTTAAAGGGAATAAACTACAAATTAAGTGGATGGGAAACGGTCCTGCCCCACAAGAAATAATGGAGCTTAATTGTTGCTTGTAGTTGCAAAGAAGCGTGTGACTCAATGGGATGTAGTTGTAAGAAACAGGATCTCATTTGTGGAAGTTCATGTAAGTGCCGCAAAGGTGTGTGTGAGAACTGTCCAACCCATCAGCACAATGATGTTGATGAGAGCGACAATGAATTTGAACCAGTTGATGACACCATTACACCAAACGTTGAAGCTAGGTCAGGAAGAAAATGAATTACCTGAAAATCTCTTACCTGACAACTGGATGAACCAACTTGTCAAAGTTAATGCCATAATATGAATTATCTCACCCTGTATATACACTGGTGATCAGCTCGATTACAGTTACGATTTGTCCCCATTCCTTATTTCATGCGTTGTAGGCAGAATCCTCTCGACGTTTTTTCTCACAAACGTGAATCAGTATCATATTAGAAAATGTACATGTTTGCGAAAAATAGCTCAGAAGACGACAGAATCGTCGATTTAATTCCTAACTTAAGTTACATAAAGGTTTGGGTTAAAAGTGCAGATCTGAACTGTTTTTTCGAAATACCGTTTATGTAACTTAAGTGAGGAATTAAATGTACGATTATGTTGTCTTCTGAACTATTTGTTTGCAAATATGCACATTTTCTTAAACATATGATACTGATACACGTTTGTGAGAAAAAATGTCGTGGGAATTCTGCCTACAAAGTGTGAAAGGAAAAAGGAAAAATCATACCTTCGATGTTCCCAAATTTTGTTACCGAAACAAACAGTTTAGGTAACCAGCATAATCGAGTGGATCACTATAATATACTTTAGTAGTCTTTAATAATGTTAGGGAGTATGAGTTGTAAGGCATACTATGTCATGTTAGATCATGATCTATATTATTTTTATTACAATTTATGAGTTTAACTTTCTCCATGCTAGGTTCTGTTATAACTTTTGTTCCGTTTCCTATGGCATCCGTGCTTTATACATTTACATTCACAATGGTCCCTTCCTGGTATATTTTTTTAGGTTTTATGACTGTTAAATTCTATAGTCTTGTTAAGACCACTTTATAAACAGGTTTATTATTACTTTTATGACTGTTAAATTATATGGTCTAGTTAACACCACTTTATAAACAGGTTTATTATTACTGGTGTAACTAACACAACGAAAAAATTATATAATTAATTTATTTGATTTTATATGACATGAAATAATTTTTTCTTTTCGATAAAACATTGCTTATTAGAAATATATTTATTTGAAAACTTAGAGTAAACAATCAGTTCTTCTATCACAAAGTTTATTTTTGTTCAATAGATTTTTCTATACATTATTTTTATGTCACCACCACTAGTGATTGGGTGACATATTGTAATAACTTCGAACGTTTATCTTGACACTGTTCAGTAGTTAATGTGTACTAACAAGGGGTGGTGACATTTTGCATGTTTCTGCATCGTCACTACTATTGAAAGCTTATGTTGATATTGTAGCAGTGTTTTTTAAGTTCTTTTTGTTGGTACAATTAGTTTCCAAACCCTATACTTATATCGATCTGACACACAGTTTTAGTGCAGGTTTAAGTGATTTTTGTTGATTATTAAACGCAAAGAGCACATGTGTCTCGAACTCGCAACATTGTGGATACAGAGCTTATTCACATAGTTTGACATGCTGGTGCTCTGAACCAGCTCGTTAGTTAATATCTGACTAAGAGACAGCTTGCTTTCCCGATGAAGAAACGTTATCTGCAGCTTTTATGAGTACTATAGTATCTACAACTATTTTTGATCTTATGAGTATTGGATATCATTATTTTCAATTTTTCTTCAACATGTATTTTAATGACTTCAGTATGAATGGAATGTCCCTCGGAGTTGTGGTCGTTGATGAGGAATTGTTCATTGAACGGTGTGGATGCTGTTTATTCCCATTTTAGATTATTGTCTTGGGATATTCAGGTTTGATTTTTGTTTGCCAGTTTTACACTTTACAGTTTGCTTTTCCCACTAGGTTGCTTTACACTTTTTTCCTTTCTCATTTGTCATTTTTGTTTATATTTAGTAAGGATATGATACGCAGGTCTCTCCTTCTGTGTGATCACCTGTCCAGAAGATAATTCAACTGCATGAAGAACATTTCGTTGACATGATGCACATGAAAGGTTTTCCACACATTTACATTTTCGTTTAAAAGAGCTTTAATTCCGTTATATATTCAGATCAAGGCCAATTTAGCATACATTTCACTCTCAAAAATCACTGTGCAATAATGGATTTCAAAGAAATGTTTGACGTTTTCAATAATCTTTTTTCTTTTTGATGAAATGTAGTTATTTATTCTAAAAATCAATCGATGTCATACACAAAATGCATTTAAGTGGTATAAAGTACAGAAGCAGAGTAAAAATATGTATTTTAGAATATCACCATGTGTTACCCCATTGTAGCGCCTCTTGCCCATGTTTCTATCAATATAAAACATGATATCATACACCAAATATGCATTTATGTCAGATTATGTGGTTTAAATACAGAAAAATAGATAACATTCTCCTTAGAATACCACCTTATGTAACCCCACTTTACTGCCTTTTGCCCCTGTTTATATCAATATAAAAGGTAGCATGTAACCTTCCTTGTAACATGTGTAAAAGTTTCAAGAAAATCAGTAAAGTGGTTTTCCTGGAATCACAATGACAAGATTTATCCAAAAAACGTCCAAGATGGCCGCCAGAATGCAAGATGGCCGCCGAAAGGTTAATTAGCTCTAGAACTTCTTACCATGTAATATGTGTGAAAATTTGAAGTAAATCCGTTTGGTTTTCCTGAAATCGTGATGAAAAGATTTATCTTTAAACTTCCAAGATGGCTGCCAGAATGCAAGATGGCCACCGAAAAAATAATGAGGTCTAGGACTTTTTACCATGTTACATGTGTGAACATTTGAAGTACATCTGTTATGTGGTTTTTGTGGAATCGCGATGACAATATTTATCTGAAAAAAAATCCAAGATGGCCGCCAGAATGCAAGATGGCCACCGCAAAGTTAATCAGCTCTAGAACTTCTTACCATGTAACATGTGTGAAAATTTGAAGTAAATCCGTCTAATGGTTTACCTGGAATCGTGATGACAAGAAAGTGAGACTTCAGAATGGCACCTTGTCTAACCCCGTTTTGGTGCCTTTTGCCCCTGTTTACATCAATAGAAGAGGTGTTTTCTTTAAAAGGGAAGTCTGTTCTTTCAAACGGTACAATCATTTTATGTGGGAAAGTACCGGACAACAAAACCCCTTTTCTAGAGCCCTTTTGGAAATCAGATCGGGGACTATAATAATCATTTGTATAATTACGAACATCAACATCAACATGTCAATTTCATTGCCTCTATGCATCAAATTATTTGTGCGTTATACGTTGAGTGTATGTAACTGATAACTGTATTGATATGTAACTGGACTGAGAACTGAATGTAGCACCTTCATGCCCTTAATGAATCACTGACCTAATTTTAGCATGTAAAAACGGGACAAGATTTACAATGATTAAGAATTTTGCACTCGACGGAAACAATAGAGAGACGAACAGCTATTGGGATAGATGGTACTGTATACATCGCTGTAGAATAGCAACCTATGATTGCAAGTCAATTGAATACAGGGAGTCAGATGGTCTTTGTCAACTGAATGACAAATCAAGAGCAGAAATCAATTCTAGCTTGTGGAACAACTATACCGAGGCGTATGATTTCTATGAACAAGAATATTGTAACGGTGGGTAAAGGATCAATAGACATATTCGCGATAAGAGTTCAGATGGTAATGTACATAAATATCTCCCATGATGCATCGCTTTTGAAGTGACAAATTTTCATTGGCCCGCCGAACGATTCGATTACTCTGAACGAAACGTCCGGAGATTGCAAAGTCAAAGGTCACGATCCGCTAACTCCATTGGTCGAGGATTACATCATAGCGTATGTATAGCATCAAATTGTTCGAACAAAATTTCACGAACAAATTCTGATAAAACTAGCGTGAATCTTGACAAAAATGACACGGTTTTTCAGCCTCCGATATTCCATCAGCACTCGAGCATAGTTACATGATACATTCTATTCAATAATCAGAAAGATAATCGGAGATTCAAAGTTACATTATTTATATTTTTTCGATCTTCAATGGCGCCTGAGCAATTTGTGGGAAATCAGTGACGTCACTGGAATTGGACGGCATTTCCAACTAAAGATTTCTTCGGATTCGGGGATTATAGTTCAGAAAGTCTTGTTGTAAATCTTAAGATTATACATATCTATCATTTGTGCAAATGCAACACTACATAAATGTTTAATGAAGCCGTAGTGCGACATTGAAAATCGCACTCCTGCGTAATCCAATGGGAAAGAGCCCGGATGTAGACGAAGTTGTACCTCTCATGAGAACTCTTCAAACGTGATGTAACTAAACTGAACTAAACTAAAAATTAATCGCCTATTGGCTTATTGCGAGCCTTCTCAGAACCATTTGGATAGACCCTGCACATATACACTCCTGATTATTTCTTTGAAAGAAAGTATCAGATGTAGCGAGCAACCTTAACAATATTGTTACAATTTCAGAATACGTTTAGCTCAAATCATTCCTTATCGTGCTTATTTTCTAAAAAATCAACAAATTCATACTTTGTTTGAGTAAACACTTTTACATTATGTCTAATAAAAAAAGAAATAAAATCATTTTACCATGTGATACATCCAAAAGTACGTTACGTTATTGAATTGCCTAATATGTATAGGATTGGATAGGATTTTTCATTGTATGAAAATGAAGATCGATTGAACTTAATGAACGCAAGTCTTACAATAAGTATTATAAGTAATATTTCTCATTTTGCAAAAAAAAATGATTTTTCTATTATGTTTTTTAGAATCGGCCTCATCTGTTGTTCGTCATGTTAACATAACTGGATCAAAATATGGCATGCTGATATATGATCTCCCCATTCAAGCTAATAACGTGCATATTGAAGAAGCGGAAACTGGGCTCTACTTTGCAGAAGATAGTTTTGGAAATAGTATGACATTTCGTGATAGTAGGATTAGTCAAACAAGCGGAAATGGTATACTTATAAAGTCACATGCTTTGCGATATCTTGATATGACAGGGAGTGTTGTTGACAGGGCGGGGCAGAGAGGTATACATATGGAGAAGAATGGTCAGAGACTTATTGTAAACAATGGAACGATATCTCGTTCTTCTATTCATGGAATCCAAGCAGCGTATGCTACGTTTGTGTTACTAGATGGTGTGACCTTCGACTCCAATTATAACAATGGCGCATACTTCCAATATCCGTTAAATATTTCCTTCACAAGCTGTGTATTCAAGAAGACAGATCGGGAAAATAGATATGCAGTATATGTTAAAAGTATGGGTTACAACTATGGCTCTTCTCAATCTCAAATTACCATGACAATTAAAAACTCTGTGTTTGAGCAAAATTCACGACATGCTATAAAAGTAACCACTACATCGCATAATCACAATTTAAATTTGTTCATAAACATCCATAATAATCTATTTCGTAACAACAGTGATACTCTAATGGACCTTGATTTATATAAAGGAACTGATGTTTTGATTGAAGATAACACAATAGAATATAATATTGGGTCGTCAAATCTAATAGATTTACATCCAATATATTATCGATATGTTAACAGACGGGTCAAAGGTGAGGTTCACATTGTCGGTAATGAATTCTTGAGAAACCAAGGCATGACGATGGTTTACCTACACCCAGACAATATAGCGAATTATGGAGGCACATTAACTGATAATGTATTCACTGATAACGTAGCATCGCAAGGCATTATACGGACAACGTCGGGGAATTATTCGATGCATTACAATATACTAGAAAACCCTTCAAGCGTTTACGAGCTTTATGCTGCATATGATGGCGATGACGTCATAAACGCTACGTTCAACTGGTGGGGAAGCGCTGTAGAAGCATATGCTGATGAACGCATATTTGATAAAGGAGATGCATTTAATGCTGCAGAGGTAGTTTACATTCCAATGTTATCAGGGAAAGTATTTACATGCTTTGCTGTGAACAACTGTTCTAACCATGGTGAATGTGTCAGACCTGATAGATGTCGTTGTGATGATGGCTGGCAGGGGCCTGAATGTAATCAAGTCTCGTGTGAGCAGGTAAGGCAGAACCCAGAAGAAGTGAGTAGTTCCCACAATACTATCATATTATATCGTATTCGGGGATTCCCTCAACCATCCCATATGGTCATACAAGCCTTATATGGATCTATCACGTGATATTCAAAATGGCGGACAACGGTCAGTTGGATTCCTATATGGTCATGTAAGCCTTATATGGATATAGCACATGGGTACCACGTGATCGAATATGATGGCTGAACTTTGGGAGATCTCCCCCTCCCCCTGGGCAGAACCTCTTGATATTATATTTTTATTACATATCTCACATTAAGCCGACTTGCTCTCCTATTCCATTCTAAAAGTTGTTGTTCAAAAATGTTTGCACAAGTATGTCTAATAATGAACCAATCTTGTTCAAATTTGATAGGTTTGTGCCCATTTCTTATTTTTTTACACTGTAGGAGTGTCAGGTGTATACGTCTTCTACTTAACAATTTATGGTTTCTATAGTAACTAAGGTGGTGACGTTATGGTCCATATCCATTTTGGTCAATTTTGTAAACAGAAAACTAGTAATATACAATATTACTAAACATACTTAATTTACTTACATATGTCTACTTAAAGAATGGGTATCGATATGGCGAACTTTTGCTTTCTCTTAAACCAATCATCAACAATTTCTGAAAATCTTACAAATTGTCAATTTACACTGTATAAAAAACGAATATTGCTTGCAAATAACGAGCAATTCTGGTGTTTATTTGCTTCGAATTGCATGTTATAAACAGTAATCATCACTGACAGAACGCAGACAATAACTGCAGATATGGAACACAAATATATGCAGCTGATATAACAAACATCCACAGAGAATACTGACTGAATATACGGGTACTGTCACCGAGTATATTTGCTTATATTCAGACATACTTTGCATATTTGCTGTTTACTTGTGATTATATGCAGCGCAGAAACTGCATATACCTGCTTATTTGGGATAGACAAATATAAGCAGTTGAGTATACTAGATATATATAGAAATTAACACTGGTTATATTTGCATATGATCTGCATATACGCCATTTTTCATGAGTATTCCTGCATATTTTGAGATAACTAATATGCAACATGTGATTATATTGAGACATGCACAAGAACTACATTAGCATATATGGAGTCAAGATCGGTATATTTGACATTGCTTTATGATCATATGCAGCACAAGATATGCATATTTTTGCTTATTTGGGAGGACTGGTAGACGCTGTTTTGTGAATTGGGCATCGACCCAGGCATAAACGGGAGGTAAAACTTAATATACACGTTAACACAAGTTAGAAAAAAATTGCACATAAACAGCTTTTACGTTTTTTATAATTTAGTTCAAATTTCTTTAGAGGTGTATTTAAAATAATTTTCAAAAACAATGATATGTTCAATACTAAAAAAATATGATGAAACATTTTGATGGATATAGATAGGATAATTATGTTTTGGCCAAACCTGTATACTGCTAAACAAATATATTTACATTGCATTTACATGATGTAGCATTATATTTCTATCTTTAAAATGGTGCGAACTAATTATGCTCCAAATCAATGTATGCATATTGCTCGATCTAGAAAACTGTGTTTTTGTAGTTAGATATGGTCTGTCTTCCGGTAGCACATTCTCGTACGATACCGAATTCTGCTTTCCCCATTCAAACTCCTTTCTTCTACAAGTTTCCCAATATCTATGAATATTCAGCTATCACATGATTTATTTTTTGCGAGAAATCTGTCACTGCACACAAATACACTGCTCTGGAGACACTGCTCTGGAAATACAACGACACTACTGTGTATTTTAATCAATGATACAAATACACCAGTTTATAGCATACTGTTCAGCCATACAGTATAATGGACCTTCCAAGACAATCAATTAATTAAATTATCAAGATCAATGCCAAGTCTTATATTTACAACAATTTGCCAAGTGTCTTTATTGTGTTTTTTATTCATCGAACCTACTTATATCTAAACTCAATCATCTATCCATTAAGAGAAATAAAAAGCAAGCTAAACTTTCACTTACGAGAGGCTTCATCGTGTTCCAGGGTCTGGCGTGGAGCAAACGACTGTCTGGCTAAATTGCGCCAATGTGTAGACATTCTCACCGTATGGCTTTATATTTATTGACTACTCGTAGACACTGGCATGTAGCGATTATAGCGGTCCTGTCTTGGCTTATTGAATTGTTACGAAGTTACGTATGCGGTGCGGAAGTTAGAGAGCAAATGACCATCATTTCAATGTAATAGTTTATGCAGGAAAATTGAGATTAGGCCATTGGAGTATTTGTTTCATGCATTTGTAAAACGTTACCCACTCATAGGTCATACTTATCGTTAAACCAATAACTCAAATATATGCCCTTGTACACCGATCACCTGTTGAAATTAATACAGGCCGATTTCAACAAATGTAAACGGCGATATATTTAAAATCGTATTCAAGCATGACCACGTCCCAACTTCTTTTGTTTTCTTTACAACTAAGCTATGACTGCAGTCTATTCAGTGTTGCGTATCGAACCTTGTTTATTATAAAAATAGTGCAACAACAAGCAGAATTCACACATTTACCTTATACTTATTCTCAACTGAAGACATTGAATTTATCTCTTAGGTTTTACATTATAAATATCTTAACATGCAGAATACGAAAATAGAGGCTTAGGCCCAACTTTGTATGAATTTTATGAGAATAATCTGATTTTAGAGAAATGAAAAGAAAAATGTCCACACACTACACAAAATATTTATGGTTCCCCGGGAATACGTATGTGCTGCTTGTATATTAGAATCGTATTCCAGTTACAGAAAGAAGTACATATCATGCTAAACTATATACAACAGTTATGCACTTGGAGGTTTTGGATACAGGGAATATCCCGAGGGATATATAATATGTCTTCCCTTGGTCCCTTCGGTCCCTCGGGAAGATATATTGTATATCCATCGGGATATTCCCTGTATCCAAAACCTCCAATTGCATAACCCCTATATATTGGCCAAGGGATAATCCCAATATCCTGACTATAGGATAATATGTTTATCCCATACCAATCTTGGTCATCTGGTTCACATTGTTAAATCGTGGAAATATTTTAGAATATTCATGTCCAGTTTTGTTTTCTTGGCCGTGGGCGGATTTTCATGTTCTCTCAAATAATCCCATATTTATTTTCTCGATTTTTTTATTGATACAGTGGATGCCCTTTCCCTTTTTTTTAACTATCAAACAGATCCCGATTGTCTGTGTTTTCTCCATTGTCGTTTACATTCATTCCGCGAACGTTACAAATTATGAACAAATATGCAAGCGGCGATTATGACGTAGCGGGCAGATATACTACATCTGCCCACTTGGAGCGGGACGTAAAGCTTTATCCCATGGTTGCAAGGAGGATATAGATCGAATATCACATGATGATATATTTGATATGTGGATCAAGATATCATATTTTATCAAACAATTTACAAACCATCGAATATCACTTTTAAACTATCGAATATCACATCTTAAATAGAGGATATCCTATGATTTATGAGTGATATGATTTTTATCCACGAATGGATATGATATCTGCACGAGTGAGCGTAGCGAGAGAGTATCAACATCCATGAGTGGATTAAAATCATATCACGAGTAAATCATAGGATGTTCTTTATATTCCATAGTTAAAGTCATCATCAGAATCTTCGGGAATTAAGTGATCTAAAACGAATTTTCCAAACGATACGGCGATATTGACACTTAGCCTCGTTTTGAGTCTGAAGTAGCAAAAATCCATAAACCATGGCATACGGCGCCGCATGTCATGGCTAAAACACCGTATGCTATGGTTAAGTGAAAATTTGCCAAAAATATCATATTTTACCACTGATTTCAAAAATACCGTTTTTATTTTGACATGTTATCCTATGGATATCATGCTAACTATGGAATAATATAGGAATATCCTATGGCTCTGAAATATCACTTATATCCATGAGTGGATATTGATATCTTCGCGAGTGAACGCAGCGAATGAGTGAAGATACTGATATCCATGAGTGGATATAAGTGATATTTTTGAAAAACTATAGGATTGTCCGTTTATCCCATTGGGAATTATTATCCAGCGAACATTGAACAGTCAGATAAATTGTAATGGAAATTCCATTTCGTCTGACATTTTGATTGCGATAATTCAACGAACGTCATATACGTGACGTAACAGAGTGGTTTGTATTTAATGCGAACGCCGTAAAAACAGGATCCCAAAAATAAAAATATATAATAAATATATAATTCAATTCAATTCAATTTATTTCATAATTCTTATATAATATACACTATAAAAACAAGCCGCTAGACACCCTAGTGGGTATATGTTGCGGTCTAACAGAAATCATTAAAATGACATCTAGACTACATATAAAAGAAAACACTTATATTATGTTACATTTAGGTATATAAAAATGGTATTAACAATTAATTTAAGGATGTACAATGTAAAAATGTTACAAAAATCAGGTATCAGTATAAAATCAACAGTATAGTATGATATTGGTATTATACATTATCGATAGATGAGTAGTTTTTTATATGAAGATTTGAAAATATTTAGAGTGGAGCATTTTTTAATATCATGTGGTAGAGCATTCCAAAGATTAGGACCTAGATAGCGAAGGGAAAGTTTAGAGCATTTACATGTAGGGATATGAAAATAATGCAATTGTCTTGTGTAATGATGATGAATATTAATGTTGATATCAAACAAGTCTTGAAATAGATTTTTTGGAAGACTGGGGTGCTTATTAAAGATTTTGTACATGAACTGACCAGTACAATATCTGTTGACATCAAAAATATTTAATATGTTAAGATCTTCAAATAAGGGAGCGGAGTGAGAAGGTCTATCCTTATTTAAAGCTAGCCTTAAGAATTGTTTCTGCAGTTTATGTAGACGATCATAAAATGATTTAAATGTGTTACCCCAGATTATGTTGCAATAATTTAATTGAGAGTGTATCAATGAGTAGTAAATTGTTTTGAAACTGTCTATTTGAAGTAGATGTTTAATGTGATGAAGAGAACCAATGACGCGAGAAATCTTTGTTTCAATAGATTTTATGTGCTCTTTAAATTTCAAGTTTTTATCAATAATAATTCCAAGAAAGTCAATTTTATCCCGGAAATTTATGTTCTCATTGCGTATTTTGAGATTCAGATTTGTTTGATTTTT